CCCAACTTCTCTCCACTTTGCTCCTTTTTCAAACACATGTTGTTCTCCACACTCACTCAAAGATACCCTTACAAGATCTACGGACACATGCCCTTGACCTTGAGCATCTCATGCACCTTTCTTCCTCATACCTTCAGTATATAGAGGTTTCTGTGCATGCTGAGCCTGAAATTCCCCCTCCAATCCCAGTTCTCCCCAAGAATTGCAGAAGTTTCTGCACCCATGCCTGGCAGGGCAGGACACAGACCCATGTAGGAGTGAGGAGGCGCAGGACACCTGGCTGCACCTGCCCAGGGATGTTCAGCCCACGAAGCTCTTCCTCAATGAGCCAAGAGGGCCAGAGAATGGATTTCCTTCCTGCCCACCAGGACACTCACGAACAGCTTATGGGCAGTCCAGAGAGCTTATGTTGTTAGCTGCTGCTTAAGGGGCAAGTGCTCCCAACACAGGGGAAGGCTTGGCTAAGGGAAGCTGCCTGCTTTTTCTCAGCTCAGGATGGGGGGAAGAATTGAGCTGAATATGCACCTATTCAGAAGGGCAAAGAGCCAAAAATAACTAGGAGCAACAGCATTTCATCTGACAGCCCCAGAAATAGAGCTCATTTCGGAGCATGCCAGGGCTACAGACCGAGTGATTCTGAGACCTTCAGCATTCCCATAAAAATACACGGAAAAGCTTTCAGTTTAGACAAGTGCTTCCTCCTCCTTCTGTGCCACAACTTCTCAGAGCGGGGGCTCTCTGGCCCATAGGAAGAACGCCTGCAGAGCCAGAGACTTGAGGCTCAAAAGATGAGGTTGAGGATGAGGAGATGAGGACGGTATCCGGTGGAATTTCTAAGGGAAGAAGACAGAAGAAGGAACGGGAAACACGGAAGATCTGAAACAAGGAGCAACAGAGCTAGGAAATGGATTTAGGGAAGGCAAAGCCTAGGGCTCATGAGAAAAATGGAAAACTGTCCATAAAAGGATGGTGTGCAGTACTCGGCTAGATCCCACAGGTCATCTTGGGCAGAAAGAAAGGCCAGGGTTTTCCCTGTGGGATGGGGAATGTGTTGCCAGATAGCAATCTTCAATTTTTTGCTTTCTTCTCTTCTATTTTGATATAAAAACACAAATGTCATGGTTCATTCATCATTGTGAATAACTGACACTGGAGAAAGGAAGGATGGGGATGGAGGAGGGGAGACGACCACAGGATTCCAGAGAACCCAGAGTGTGGAAATAGCTGTGTTCTAATAGGAAGAAAACGTTGGGGAGATAACAATGAATAAAAAAAAGAAAAAAAAAGCGGGGAGGGAGGGAGGGAATAAAGAAAAGATAAAAGGAACTAGGAAGATGTTGGATTCAATTTTTTGCAGTGCCTATGTGGAAGAACTTTCTATGTACAGAGCATGGGGTGAGCACACAGAGATGGTTAAGAAACAAGCCCTGCTTTCCAGGAGTGCACAGCTGATTTGAGGAGAGCAGGCCAAGCAACCACGCACAATATAAGGCAGAGTTAGCCAGGGGCCGCTTAGGGTTCCAGGCAATGCTCAGAGAACCGACCAATAGCATTTGGACCTGAGGTCATGAGGGAAGGCTCCCTAGAGCTGGAGATTCCCCTGCCCCACCCCCTGCAATTTTTGTAGGAGGGGAGTGGGTGGAGGAAACATGCTTCAGAGAGTGCCTTCCTCCCCACCTCTTCTAACCCAGAAATCATTTGTCTCTGCAGGGGCAGATCTCTTTACCCTAGACACCCTTAGTACCTAGAAAGTGTGGCTTCCCAGAGCCCACATAGACAGTGCCAGTCCAAAGGTAAGTTTCTACTGATCCACAGGAAAACAAGACACCTAAAGACAAGTTGGAAGTTTTTCAGAAGCAAAGTTCATTTGGCTCAAGAGACTGTCCTTTATGATGATGTTAGATCCTTCCTAATTTTTTGATAACAAAAATGCCTCAGCTTTTTATAAAATAATGTCGATAGAAGATAGTATATCTTGTTTTGTTTTTTAATATTTTTACTTGGCACATTAATAGTTGGCCAAGTGCATTGGTTCCTGAGATCTGACTGAAGTGAAGTCATTTCAGAGTCGGAGAACAATGGCCCTTGAATGCAGAGGCAAGTTTATGCCAGGAGGTGCTGCCTCCTTTCTCCGCCCTGTCCCGCCAGGCCTCTGGAGGCCCCGCCTCCCAGTGTGATAAGCTCAGGCCACCATCCTCCCTCAGGACGCTGTTGCCTTTGTCCTTTCCTGTGTTGAGGTGTAGACTTGTTCTCCTCTCACTGTCTCCTGAGAGGAGGTGATAAACCGACTCATGCTAAGGCAGTAACGGGGAAGGCCAGGTCAACATGGTCTCCCCGGGGGTCCTTCAACTTTTAGTGGAATATTAAACGTTAATTCAGACCGATGAACTGTGATGGTGGAATTTCAAGCCCTTCCAATGGGACAATGGGAAAAGTATATTTATTTTTAAATAAAGGAGCTTCTTCAGAAACCAGACTACACCCTTTGAATTACTGACGTGAACTGCTAGGGAGGAGGCAAGGGTAATAACTGATTCTGTCTTCTGGATCAAAATGTCATATTCCCCTGTGAAAAGAAACGCAGACCTCCTTCTGCCCCTCTCCAATACAGATGGATCAGTCAATCCCAGCACCCACTGCCCCGGGTGGCCGAGGACCAAACTACATTTCGGCCAGAGTTCTGCCTGTCTGCTGCTCCTTGCAGGCATGGGTGGTCCCACCTTCCTCTGGAGTCGTGGGGCCTCGGTTGTGGTGCACAGACGGACGCACAGTAGGAGCACAAAAGAAGACCCTGACTGAGTGACTGAATGTGCCACGTTAAAAACAGCCCAGCCCCCTAGGAGGGAGGAAGCTCTGCATAAACCACACCTAGGTAAATCCAAACCCTTAAAGCTCACAAAGCCTTGAAAACTCTAGATTCCATGAATCCTGATTACAAACAACTTGAGGGAACCATTTAGTTCCCCGAAGACCAACGGAGCCTGTGTGCAATGAGGGAGGAGAGAAACTCCAGAGAGAGGCCCGGGAAGACAGGTGGAAACCCTAGAAATATTGGGATGCCTCCTGAAACCTCATTCTCCTGAACTAGCCAACAATTTTCATTAAAAGTATAGTCTGAATTTTGACCTGGCAGAAAAAATACAGACAGGATCTGGGACGAAGCCACCAAATCTTTTGTTCCCTCGGACACTTGATAGAATAAATGATTTTCCACATCACACAGGAGAATTTTAAGTGCTTTGTTTCTATGGAAGTGGGACAGGGACAGTGGGAGCATCTGCCCAAACACCCAAAATGCTTTAATGTGCTGGCAGCTGGCTGGGAGAGGAGCAGGAGCCACGGTTTCCTGGAAGCCAGTGGTTGGAGGCGGGGGTCTCCGGAGCCGCAGCAGCTGCAGGGAGCTTATTACCAAGACAAACTCTCAAGGGCCACCGAGGACCAAATGAGTCAGAAATTTCAGGGGTGGAGTCCAGCAACCTGGGTTTAACAGTCCCTCCATGGGACTCCCATGCGCTGCTTGAGAACCAGTGGAAGAAGGCATCGCTGGGGGCCAGGGGCCTCACGCTGGGCCACTGCTCTTAGGTGACCTAAAAAAACCTAACAGATGACAACTGAGGAGTCGCCATCTCCAGTGTGGTCAGGCCTGTACGGAGGTGGCGGTGGGCATGTCCAGGCACAGGGCACTCCTACAGCGCCGGTCTAACCCTCCCTAGGCATCCCACCGTCTCCACCAGCCACTCCCCGACCTGGATGTGACTCGACCTATGGTGGTAGCTTAGGGAAAGGGCTGTGTCCTCCCAGACTCCGGTCTATTGTTAATTAGTTCCAAGCCGCACAGATCCGCCAGTGCTACAGGGAAGCCTCTGCGAACTTTCGAAGGTGGGTTAACTGTTCCAGGGCAGCGGCCGCCGGCCCCAGTTGGCCGAGCCCCTGGACACAGCCGGGCGCTCCCCGCGAGCGAGCGAGGCCCCGGCGGCCCCTCCGCCTGGCCGCAGCGCCCGGGCCGGAGAGCAGCCAGTCAACCTGCGTCCCCAAGGCCGAGGATGTGTCCTGATTTTTTAAAAAGCTGTTTGCGCACTTCATGGGCCTCGCCCCTTTCATTTGGGGCTAGAGTACAATTGTAGTGGCCTAATTAATTCATTTTCTTTTCGGTCCAAAGGGGAAGCCGAGGCACAGGGATGCAAATGAAATCCAAACCGGGTCTGGGTGCCAAATACTCCGGACAATTAAAACAAAGAGCGCGGCGGCGGCGGCGGCGCCGGCACCGCACAAAACCCTCGGGAAACATCCAGAACGTGCGGCGAGCCCGCGGCAGGGTGGGGCGCAGCCCGGACTACAGCCGCGCCGGCAGGGAGGCGGTCCCAGCCCTGCAGGTGGACAGGTGGAGGTTGGCGGGGTCAGAATCCGCCCGCGAGGACGGGAAGCCGGCCGGCGCGCGGCGCACGCCCGGGACCCGCCGCGGGAATGGCGCCCCGCCACGGCGGCCGCCCGGCGGAACCCACTGCCCGGGCGGGAACTGGGCTGCGCGGCCCCCACTGGGGTGGCTGGGAGGGGGCATGAGGGAGGGAGGAGGAGGGAAGGGAGAAAAGGGAAAGGGAGAAAGGGGAAAGGGAGAAGGGGGAGAAAGTGACATAAAAAAGGGGGGTAGGGAGCGAGGGCAGAGGGGCGAAGGGGAAGGGCGGGCGGGGAGGTCGCGGCGAGCCGAGCGCGGCAGGGGCGGGGAGCGGCGGACCGAAAGCGAAAGGGGGCGGGCCGGCCGGGCGACCCGGGGGGGGGGCGGGGCGGCCCCTGGGGGGACCGGCCTCGGCTCCACCTGCGTGGGCGACCCGGCCCCGGAGGGCGGGAGGCCGGGGCCGGAGGGAGCGGCTGGGAGGCGGGCTGGGCAGGGGCAGCAGGGAGGAGGGACGGGGACGGGGGGCGGGGAGGAGCCGGCGCTCGGCTGGGGCTGCGGGGGCGGCGACGGCGGGAGCGGCAGTGGCGGCGGCGGCGGGTCGGGGTGGCGGCAGGTGGCCCAGCGCTCGGCGGCCGGCCCGGCCGGGGGCGGGCGGGAAGGTGGCGCCTCGGGCGGGGGCCGGTCCCTGCACCAGGTGACCTGTTCCGGCCCGCATCCGGGCGGGCGGCCTCGCCATGCAGCGGCGCGGCGCGGGGCTCGGGTGGCCGCGGCAACAGCAGCAGCAACCCCCGCCGCCCGCGGTCGGCGCCCGGGCTGCAGCTATGGCCCCCCCGAGCGGCGGTGTCCCCCCGGGCCTCGGCGGCCGCCCTGCCTGCGCGCTGCTGCTGCTCTGCTACCTGGTGAGCGCCGGACCCTGCTCGGGTCCTCCCCTCTGCGCGGGGCCCTGGGGACGCGGGTGGGGGCGGCCGGGGACCCCGCCAGGCGGGGCGGGGACGCCGCTGCTAGTTTTCTCTCTTCCTGGCCGCTGCGCCCCGGGCGCTCCCGGCACCTGGCAGGGGTACCCGGGGCGTGGAGAGGGGCGCGGGGACCGGACTTGCCGCGCTGCTCTCGCGCTCGTGTCCATTCCTCTGGCTCCCAGACTCGCTCTAGACCTGGATCAGGTTCCCCTGGAGACCCCTTCTTGTCCCCCACTCTACCTGGGAGCCTCGCCATCCCGCGTTCGCTCTCCGCCCCGCCGCGCGCTGCTCTCCGGCCCCCTCCCCACCCTCCTGGGCTTCCCTCTCGATCTTCTCCGCTCCTCTCCTCCCGTGCCCAACTTCGGCTCCTTCTCTTCGCGCCCGCCACCCGCCTCGACCCTCCTTTCAGTTTCCACCGGGTCCTCGCGGCCCGGACGGTTTTCTGCCAACGCACCTTCGCATTTCCAGCGCTCTTCAACTCCTCCTTGGTCACTCCAGCCAAGTTGCAGATGCCAGAAAGAAATCTAGTTCTCTCTAACACGCTTACCGCCAGAGTGGTGACTTTAGTTGCGTCTTGAACATTGTCATTTCAGAGAATATGTTTGGCTCATGCGTTTCAGTTTGCAATTTGCACACTTTTGGCTTCTGTTTTACTCATCAACTAAATAGCAGTAACCTATTTTTCAAAGCCAATTCATTTTAAATACTAGAGTAATTTAGACCCTCAGAACAAGGTGGGGAAATATTTCTCAATACCTTCGTTGGCTTGCTTTCTTATGTTTTGAATTCTCCTAAGCAGCAGTAAATTTGCAGAAGGCGACACCCTTCCTGCCCAAGCCTACCTTATGTTCCAGGGTCCTGCGGAAACCTGGGGTTGTATCGCCATATATTACTGTAAATAAATGAAATGGAAAATGCTGAATCATGAAACTGATGTAATAGGAAATTCACAGAATGCTAAAAAAAAAAAATTGAGCAGTGTCATTGTCCAAAATTCTTTTCATTTATGTGGCATTGTCATTATTTGGAGTCTTTCCTCGTAGAAGCTAAAAACTGCTTAGGAAGTACTGGCAGGAATTAGAATTTGATTCTGAAGACATTTCCTACCCAGCCCAAGTTTCTTTTAATGTTCTTTACTTCTCGGATGTTTCATTTTTTGAAGCAAGAGCGTGTAAAAATGCAAATTGTACTTCTGCCTTTGCATCTACCTGTTGAGCAATTCATGCTTTTACTCATATTTCAAAATTAGCCAGTACCACATTTTGTGGTTGGATTTACTTATTTTCATAAGAAGTTGTCAGTTAATATGAATGGGTTTTTTTTGCCCAAGAGATATTATTTAATATTTATGACACAAGGTTACAGCACACAGGCTCATAAATAAAACTGCCATAACAAATGACAAGATTTCAGTTTAAACAGATGATCCCCATACATGAGGCGCCGCTGACTACTCACAGAAACAGAAATGATGTAGTAGAGCAGCATGGGAAACATTAATGCACAGGTGGTCTAGAAAGTTCCACATGGAAATCTCCAGAGCTGGCAAAGACTGACTACTTCTTGACAGTTCAAGAAATCAGAGTAACAAGAGCAAAGCCTAAGGGCCGACGTGGGATGTGTGAACAGAGACAGATGATCAAGAAAGTACAAAAGTTCTGTAGGGACCAAGGGGGATGTGAGAGAGGGGTGGCAGACAGGGAAGAATGATGCCATGGTAGATACGAGAGTGACACAGTGAAGTGGTGAGGAGGGCCCTGGAAAGAGAGATTGCAGAAAATACTGTAATGTGGAAAATAACTAGAGCATGGATGAATGTCTTGGCAGACAGGGAAGGAATGGATTTTGGAACCTCATGGAGGGGGAAATGTCAGATTTCCTGCCACTGTGTGCTTCCTTCAGATGAGTTTCTGATATGCTGCTGTACAAGAAAGACTTTGATAAACAGGAGAGCCATTTTGCAACGGAGCGAGAAGGTTTTGTGAACCTGAGAAACAAAAGCAAAAGGTCTTAACATTTGGTTGTAAAGGTCTAGGGGTTTTGCTCCCTATGTGCTTGTTCCCTGAGGTCCTACTGAAAGGTAAAGCTTCTTGATCTTGGAGAAGCTTGACGTGTGAATCGGGGAAAATGGAAACATCTGTGTGAAACACATGAAAAACATGATAAAACAGAAAAATACAAATGCATAATAGTGTGCATTCTGCTCAATCAAGGAATGCTTCCTGGAGGAAGTGACTGGTCAGTGGGATGAGGTGGGCAGGTGGAAGGTAGAGATGGAACAGAATAGCTGGGCAGGATCTCAGCATATGTAGACACTAGAGGCAGAAAGCTATTCCGTAATTTGGAAGCCTAAATGGTAATAGTGATAGCTTGCATTGTGCTCAGTTATTTATAGGCATTATCCGATACCAATCTTAGCAACAACCCTATGAGATAGGAGCTGTTATGGTCTCTATTTAGGTGAGGTAACAGAGGCTCAGAGATGTTAAGTTAGTTGCCCCAGGACGCACAGTCTGAGATGGAAACCAGACTGTCCACCTCTAGAGCCCCAGCTGGAGCCCTTGCTGGCTTATTGCCTTCTGCATTTTGTTGCTTGGAACCCACTTTTCTCTTACCTAGGTATGTCGATGTTCTGGCCATTAGCAGAGCTCTGGCAATTAAGAGCTACTGTGCAATCGGCCAGGATGTGAGGTCATGTCTAAAGCAATCTAAAATGTACAAAGCAGGAAGTGCAGGCCACAGCATAGAAGCAGGATGTTACAGACAAAAAAAAAGGTAAAGCCCAGAAAATATTGCCATCAGTAACGGAGAGGTAAAGGCCTATACAGTCCGGAGGCAGTTGTGTGAACCTGTGAGTGTGCCTTGGAATGCATTCCAAAGCCAAATTGTCCATGATTTGGGGACCAGTTCCTGTTCCGTGTTACCCTCTCCTGTCTGCCTGTTCGCAAGGGGTGGTGGTCGAGAGTGGCTTCTCAACAGCCGCGTTTAAGCCCTGCCCTGGTGGGAAGCGTGCTTCCTGGACTCGGGGTCCCGAGGAGGTGGGTACCTTCCTCCTCCTCCGGCTGGGACAGAGTAACCTTCAGTCTCGGCTCAGGAGCAGTGCTGTGACTGTAGCTAGGATACTGCCAAAGCATGAATAATTGTGATGAGGCCTGAAAGATAAGTCACGGAACGATGCCAAACAGATTTCTGAAAAGATGATCCCTGGTTCCAGTGGCTGCCAGAAAATTCTGAGGTCACCAAAGGTCAAGATGCAGAGAGCCTCCTCAGAGAGGATGAGGGCCTCGAAAGCAAGGGGTAATGAAATTGCCTCCGCTGAGGTCACTGGTGCTGGCGGTGTGCTCCCCACGGGACCCACCCTGCCAGCACACCCCCTTGCCGTCTTCTCACGCCACCCGCGCTCACCTCCCTCCCAAGTTGGCAGGAACCAGCCTGAGGCTGCCCCAGCTCCATCCGTGCCAGTGGCACTCCCGGAAGGTGGTTCTGTCCACCTCCAACTCTGGCCTGGAAGGTGTAATTTTTTTCTTAAATGAAAAAAATAAATCTCGCGATGGCCAGTGTTGATGTCGGCTGTACAGGTGAAGTGTCCAGGGTAGACATTTGCATTTGTTAGACAACCAGAAGACAAAGGAATAAGAGGACATTAGCAGCACAGTTGTATGTGGGGCTAGTTAGGCGACGGTGGCCGTGATAGAGTCCTGTCCAGGATTCTCCTTAAGTGGCCGCACGTCATCGGCTATCCGTCCAGGAGTACGCGGTAACCCCTTACTGTGCGTGCAGTGCAGGACACAGAAGATCGAAACCAGGTGAAGAGACCCGCAGTTACCCAGCTCGGGGAAGAGCGGCTATGAGTATGTGAAACGCAGAGACAATATCCAAATTTCACATCAGCCGATAGCTTCCATGGTCATCCTCACCGAGCTTCTAAAACCTCCCAGGCATGGTGTTTGCCCGTCGCCTTCCATTTCTTCTGGCTGCCTGCTGGCAAAGGGCAGGGGAAAGGTAGCAGAGAAGAAATAGAGAACCCAAGCAGTTTGCCCAGAAGATGGATAGCCCCAAGTACCCCATAAATAGCCTAAAGTGAATTCGGTTACCCTGTTTATTGGCTCGGCACCTTCCCCTGAGAAAGGATCCCGGGGGCGGGCGGCCTGGGCAGCGTGTGAGGAATTGCTGGTGGGATCCGGCTTTGGCAGCCCCGTTTCCCTCCTCACCCGAAGGGCTCGAGGGTGCCAGGGAGGTGGCTCAGTCTGGCGTGTGCGTTTGTGGGTAAGGTGATGCTTCCCCTCGCCAGACTCGAGCCATGCCGACGCGATGGAATTTTAACACACCCACCCACCCCCCACCTTTTCAAGATGAATGAGGTAAGTCTCAAGATTCCCTCACCTGTCGCCTGAATATGGTGACAGGTAATAAAGGCAAGTGGGTGAGTCAAGGGCACCATTTTGGGTGTTTCTGCAAGGCAAGAGGCATACTGTTGCTGACCTAGGAGTCAACCAACATGGATTCGAATTTGGGTTCTGCTTTTTAGTTGCTGGCTGACCTTGGGCAGGTTACTTACCCTCTCTGAATCCAACCCATTCCCTTAGCTGTAAAACTAGAATGCTGTCTCCCTCACATTAGGTTAGACGTGAGAAGTTCTGAGAAGTTCTGTGTGAGAGGATGGGGTTAGACGTGCGAAAAAACATTTAAGTCGTCTGTCCCGATGCCCAGCAGACAGTAGAAACTCTATGAAATGAAACCAAACCAGCCTTTGCCACCCTTCTGTGATTTGAGTGAAAAAGAAACAGCATGTTAAATAGTATCGAGGGGGGTAGATCTTACACAAGCAGGAATACTGGTCATCACTGTGACGGGGTTTCTCTAGCCCGCTCTCGGGCGTGGGGAGAAGCAGTGCTCAACTGGGAAAGGTTTCCCAAGGCACATCTTGATTTTGAAGTCCGTATTGACATCATCGCCCATTTTGCTTAATTGCATGCTTTGTTGACATAAACAGAATTTTTGCACGTATCTAGTCAGCAGAAATTGGAGCAATAAGCCTGCGAAGGCAATACAATTACCTTTTTGACCTATGGAAAGTGAGATCCAGCCAGAAGAAAGCCCTCAAGAGCCAGGGTTTTCTTAGGTGACTAATGGGCTGGCACGGTCGAGAATGAGAAACACAGACACTCCGTTACTGTCTGCGTATCAGACCTACCCACGTGCACGTATAAATGTAAACGAACTTCCCACAGTGAGACCTGAGTGATTTAAAATTTTCCAGTCCCTCTGTCCCTTCCTTAAATACTGAGTGGACCATGTACAGAATAGAGCCAAGTTTTCTCAGCTCTTTGGAACAAGGGAGGGTTATTTGAATAGAGTTTCTTTTTATTGATTTTGTTTAAAGGAATCAAATGCAGTCATCCTAAAAGAAGTTTAGGCAGTACTGATAGTTTTTTTTTTCCCATCCAGAAGATACATAAATTCATCTGTTTCTTGATTCCCAGGCTGAATTCAATGCATTTAGATCTCCTATTTTGGGTCTTCTATCATGAAAACACATTAACTGGCCCATTTCTTTCTTTTCTAAAAAAATTTACAATACATGCACACTTACACAAAGGCAAAGGAGTCTGTGTTTGGTGACTGTGCGTGACATTGTCAAATTTGACTTTGATTAGGGCTCACATCTGGTATAAACAGATATTTGAGGGCCCGGGCATCTTTCGGAGCCCAGCTCTGTTGGGTGCGGAGTAGATTATTAGCTTTTAGGTGGGACATCTACGTGGCTGTGTAAATGGTGTAATTTGAGGGGCAGAGAGATGCCCCCTCACACCCCAAATATCTTGCTTAGAGCTGCAGTACATTTGGGCCATGCTTTTAAGGCATTGTCTTCACAAATGCCAGGGTACGTGACATTACCTCTGCCTTTTTTAATGATCACAGTAACATGGATGAACTTGGCAGGTGAATGGGAGCCCAGCAGAGGGTGGAGGGATGGGAAATTTTAAAAATTTAATTTGTATTTTTGGTGTGGAGTAATGAAAAAGTTCTAGAATGTAGGACAGTCGTCTGGAGGGACAAAATAGCTGGGGGAAGTCCACCCCAAATGAGT